CGCTTGTGAGGAACGAGAAAACTTACCTTCCGCAAGTTGAATTTGCTTGGCGTGTCAGGTCCTGTTGAATGATTGCAACCGGCATTAAAAGAGAAATGGATTATTCCGAAATTCCCATATCGCCGGCAGACGTACAAAGAAAAAAAAAGAAAAAAAGACTAAGAATTCAAACCAGCTTGAATTTATAAAACCGGAAGTCTTGGGCGAACGAGAAGTAAGTCTCATATGCAAATTTTAGTTGCCCTCGACGCGGGCATAAATAGCGAGTCTGGGAGGAAGACGGCAGAACGCATTGTTGGCGTGACGGCGTTCGTACTAACGAGACTGAGAGAGTAAAAGGTCACTAGCAACAGCTCGGTTGGTAGCCCGGAGGGCTGGACGAAAGCAAGCACTTTAATCCATTTCAGTCATCGCAAACGACGAGCGAACTGAATTACCCACACGGCTTTACGGTGTTCTTGTAGTCTTATCTTAAGGAGAGCGGCCCCTTTCCCCTTTATATTTCTTGCCACAACTGCACGGGATGGCGTACACACAGTCTTTAGTCATATTCTCTTCTATGGGTAGTCTTACTCGAAAGAGATGTCTGCAGTATGTTTATCAACTCCTGAAGATTGTCCTGATGTTGCATAGACCTCAGATCGTTGAATCCTTCACATAGATTAGGCAGACTGAAGCTGTTTTTTCAGTGTTGTCATCGTCTTGCACCCTTCTATCCAATACATATCACCTGAAGAAGGCCGGAGCGTACAACCGCTGAAAACGTCGTGAATGTGGCAGTAAAGATTAGAACAACACTCAGAACGATGTAAATAGTTTAAATAGTTAAATACCTCATTTCAGAGATATAGACAATTACTTTCTATCATTTAATGTTTTTCATTCACAAAAGTGTACATCTTATTGGCTGATTTTCGCACGATTTTCTGAGATGGGAAATTATTAATATTCTTTGACTTATTCAAATATTTGAAAGTGAGAACAGCGGTTCGAGTAAATCAAAGAATACCATATTGGATTATTTTTTAAAGTATTTATAAATATATACGCTAATATATAAAACAAAGCGGAGAAAGGCTAAGTATAAAAAGAAGTATAATTTCTCACCGTAATGTGGTTGCTCGAAAAATATGACAAAAAAAGAAAAAACTAAATAGGCTAATAAGTTAATGTTTCTCAAGGCCTATCAAGGACAAAATGTGTACAACGACTAAAAAAAATGCCGGGGAAATACTGTCGGATAAACAGCAGTAAGCTGTCTGTGATTTGTATTTATTTTCAATCTGTTATGAGTAAGGTAATTTATAAAAGAATTATCATGAAGGAATCTTCATAAAAGAACACTAAAAAGGGCGCATCTGACCATGCTTATTACGAATAGGAAATAGAGAATGGTCTTGCTAACTAACGAAATATATATATGTATATATATATATATAAACCTATAAAATAGGTCGTTCGAAAATTCCTTAGATGTAATAAAAAGGCGAATAAACAGAAGTTATTACTGGAATAAATAAAACTTGTGTGTAAGGAATTTTCGAAAAGCCGATTTTATAAGTTTTATATGTATATATATATATATATATATATATATATATATATATATATATATATATGTGTGTGTGTGTAATTTCGTTAACAATGCAGTTCTTCATTTCTTGTTCGTTATATGCCCATATGCGGCCTTTGTAGTTTTAATTTATAAACATTCCTTTATGAATTGCTTACATATCTCATATATATATCTTACTTATTATAAAACGCAGATTGTGTGTATGTGTGTGTCTCTAACGTTTATATATTGGATCGTATTTCCTACATTTTTCAACCGATTTCAACAAAACTTCACAGAACTATGTAAAATTACCTTGTGGTGGTTCTAACAGCGTCAAAAATGGGAAAAATATAATTGTTTTTGCACAAAATCAATTTGAAAACACGATTAAGAGACATCGTGAAAATGGAAGGGGGACAACTCACATCGGATTTCCTATATTTTTCAGCTGATAAAACAAAACTTCACTTTTTTTTTTGGCAGGTAGTGTTTCTTATTCTCTTGCACACTTTTTTCTTTATTTTAACATTCAGAAAAAAATAAAAATTAAGACATGCGTGTCCGTCAACCTTAAACAATAATCTAACGATCTCTACTGATTGTACGAATACAAACATCGGATAAATTCTTTATCTTTAGGGAAAGATAATGAAATCTAAACATACACAAGTCCTAACTAAAAATAATAACCGGAACGGGAAACTACTTTATACACATGGTGTCCAACTTTTTTACTGTATTCAATGAGTAAAAATCATAAATTGTAAAAGATTATTATTACAGAAATGCTACTAAATGAATAAGATTTGTTAGATCATAAATAATAAACCCAAATAAAGTTAATATTTTTTGTATTAGAAACAACGAGTGGAAAATATATTCGAATCAGAATTCTAATTATGAATCACCACAAGCAAAATATGCAATTTTTATTACTGTATTCAATAAGTAAAAATCATAAATTGTAAAACTAAAAGATTACAGAAAGGCTACCTACATTTTTCAACCGATTTCAACAAAACTTCACTTTTTTTTTGGCATGTAGTGTTTCTTATTGTCTTGCACACTTTTTTCTTTATTTTTACATTCAGAATGCTTTAAAAATTCCATTTACAAGACAATTATTTATAATAAAATTCTATTCAATCAGTAGACTCATAACGATTGAAAACAATGTTTTTGTTTGAGTTTGGGTTTGACCAATTCGTAAAAAAAAAAAACTAATTAAGACATGCGTGTCCGTCAACCTTAAACAATAATCTTTGTCAATTTTATTTGTCAGTCTTTATGATGGTGGATACTTGATCTATCTCTTACTGTTATATCCCCGGGCAACGCCGGGCTCTACTGCTAGTTTATATATATATATTTGATTTTAATATATATATATGATGTGAATGAGGCTTTGGCCATCCGGATTGAAGTTATAAATGCTCCTACTTCACACTTTTCATGTTATATTCAAGTACTTTCGAATATCACAGACATTTTCACAAACGGGTGTTATATATAGTCGAAAATACTTAAATATAACAAAAAGATGTTTTTTTTTCCAATTTAACTAAATCGTTATCAAAATTTTGATTTTAAACTGTTTATTTTTTTTACATGCCGAGTATTATCCCTATCTTTTTGTTGTTATTACACCGTTTCGGCTTCAAAGTGATTTAATTAAGGGATGAGAAGAAATCACATATCTTACAGTTTAAATCAAAGTTTACATGTCACGCCTTTTCTGGGTGTTTTACATTTCAGTTATTTCTATTTAGTATACTCAACTATACAAATTTTTGGTACATCTCTGCTGTGATAAATAATTGGGCACAGTAGAGTGGAACAAAAACATGAAAAATTGATTTACTAAAGGGAAATAACTGAAACTGAGATATCCAGAAGAGGCATGGCACATGGAACTAGAACAATCTACTCCAGTGGGCGAAATAAAGGATTCAGAAAGCCGGAGCGTACAACGGCCAAAACCTCGTGAATATGACAAAGATGACAACATTCCGTACGATGTAAATAGTTACCTCATCTCCGAAATATAGACAAATCTCCAAAAATATGCGTTCTATTAAATGTCTCTCGAAGAGTTTTTCACAATGTAGAATTATTTAATAAGAACAAGGATTTGGATTATTGATTCCGCACTAAGAAAGGCAAGATATAAAATTATGGAAATTAAGATGATTGAGCCTCGATATTTAAGTTAGGTCAATTGTTAGAGTTGAGTTGTGAATCCGACTAAGAGGGATCAAGACGCATAAAACTTAAATTGAGCTGGAAAATAAGTGAGAGAGTAGAAATGTTTCAGTGAGGGTGACAGCGTGTGTGAAAGAGAGAGAGATAGAGCATGACAGAAAGTGTATGAGTTAATGAGTGAGAAAAAACGTGTATGTGAATAAGTGTAAGGAAGTTTGAGAGTATGTCTCTGTTGGAGTACATGTGGATCGACAGTATAAACACCCAAATAAAGTAGATACGGTTTATTCCAATAAAATAAATCAATAAACCTAAATAAGTCATCATTTGTATATAAACTCATTCTCCAGAATGGGAGCACATTTGCACTGATTTGATTATCATAAGTGTAATTTCACCACCCCTGAACCAAAAAACTTACTGAGAGATATAAAGGATAAAGGATTGTGGAGAGCCATGATCGTCCACGTTCTGAAGTGACGCAACGCATAGATTTTTACTTAATACGTACGACACTACTTCAAAATTTAAAACTTTGCTTTATAAAGGGTTCGATGTGTGAATTATCACCATTTTATATTTTTAATTGCGCGCTTCGCGTTGTTTTTTATTTTGTCGACTGCACAGTATAGTAGGGTCAGTTGGGCACCGTCTGTGAGAAAAAGAGCACCATGACGCAATTCATACCGCCAGAAATTTGGTAAAGCCATGCTGTAATGCTTGGCGTTCACGCCGAAAACCCAAATACGAACATTTCAGATTGTTTGGGTATCAATCTGAGGGCAGTGCAGAGAATTCGGAAAGAGTTGGGTGAGTCTAATGGTGATTACGAAGGTACGGCAGCACGGAAACTCTCTCTGATTGCTTTGATAAGAAAAGAAATCCAGAATTTGTTGGTGAGGACCTCTGACTCAACAGGCAGTCTTACATCAAGTGCTTCGAGGTGCTAGTGCTGCCCTAGATTAAGAAGGTGGTTGCTGGAAGACCTTATATGTGGCAACAGGACTCTACACCATGCTACCCAAGCAGGAGAACTCAGTCATAGCTGTCAGACAATTTCTGCGGCCACATTATCCCTTACATCTGGCTACCTAAATCCTCAGACTGCAACACTAACTAACCCACAGCTGGTGGGTAGAAGGGTATTTGCGCGTAAATGAATATAACGTACCCAACTGAATCTCGGCTCGCCGATTAAAACTTTCGAACCATTATCCATTACACAATCCGCACATCCCAGCTTACAGCAGCTGGTATTCCCAAGTGGCCACCCTTTTAGGTACTGAGCAGATTCGATGTTGCTTAACTTCGGTGATCGTACGGGAACCGATATTTCAGTGAAATGTGTGGAGCGCAGCAGTTGAGCGAAAAACCAACAAAACACATTGTAACACCAAAGATGAACTGAAGGCAAGGATTATGGCAGCATTCACTAACTTAAACAAGTAGATCGTCCAGAAGAGTTGCAGGAGATTCTGAAGTCATGTGGAGGCCATGGTTGAAGCCAATGGTGATTTTATTAACACATGGCGACATCTATCAGACAGATGAAATTTAAATTTTTATTATTGCATTATTCCAAAATTTTAACGCATCAACAGATAGCTATTAATATCAACAACTGACCACAAATAATTGTTAATTAAAAAAAATAGTAATTAATGTATAATATTATCCATAACTTCATGTACAAGAATTTGGTTTTTGTTAAAAGTAAAAAATAACCATAAATACATAAAAATGCGTATATTGTCTAAAATTCCTTTTTTCACAATATAGCTATTTGTGCTGTTATGTTTATTACCTAAACGATAATAAAACTGATTTTTTTTTAAACATTAAAGTATATTTAATTACATCTTCCCTAATAGCAGTCATGATCTGTTAATATATTTGCTCTTTAGTATTTCAAGATATTTTTGTGTAATTTTAGTAAATATATCTGTTAAAATGAGATGTCAGTGTTATTTTCAGTTTTGCATAATTTAGACGACAATTTATCCATCGTACTCTGTATAGTCTTCCTCAATGTGTCTCATCTCTTCAAGACATTGGAGATCATGGTTCTTCACAATTAGTATTAATTAGTCACTCGAGTAGACTCCAGGGTCTCCCGAAACTGATGGATACCAACCAATATTAGTGAAAGAGAGCAGAAAAGAAATATACAAGTATTTATAACATTTTATTTAAATATCAACCGAAAGTGTTGAAATAAATTTGGAGTGCACAAGAATATTTTTGTTAGAATTTTCCTTCAGCCAAATCCGAATCAGCAAGCAAGTCGCTATAAGGAATGATATACATAGTTCTCGATATTTGTCTAGTAAACTTATAAAAAGCTTTATTGCTATGTACTTTCGTTGATTTGGCGTCGCAAACAAACTCCCGGAACCTATGCTGTTCGTAAGTCGGGAAGATCTTAAACTAAAAGACCTTTCTAAAACTGTTCGATTTACAAATAACATGCTGTATATTTTATGCTTTCTATTTCCGGTGAGGACAAGACAATGTTGCGCTGAAAACAACGTTCTCTATAAAAACCAAAAAAAGCATTTGAAATTAACTTCTGAAAGAGCATATAGATTAAATCAAAAGACAAAACACCCACTTACCTTCTGATACATATATCTTGGGAAGATTTTCAAATGTATCTAAACTGAAATAAAAGAAAAAAAAAGTGATATAGCAATTGTCATATAAACACATTGAAAATAACATAGTGATATTGTCTACTATTTACATTATTCGGACTATTATCCTCATCTTTGTTGACATATTTATCACAACGTTTCGGCTGTTATACGCTCCGACCTTCTTCAGATGGTTGGAATATCGAGCTGGACCATTTATTTCGCTCACTGGGGTAGACTGTTCTAGTTTCACGTGCCATGTCTAATGAATGTCATTTATCAGTTATCTCCTGTTAATTCATCACTCTAAGTTCTCCACCGCCTTAACCAGGTATTGAACTCATACTCATTGGGCCCTGTCACTGGATCTAACTAAGGCTTTTATCTACTGTGCCATGTGTCCTTGAGGACCGCTTGGGAATACTGCAAATACCCATGGAAAAGGTATGAATGTGCTCCTCCCCCTCTAGCTACAGGTTAATTAGTAGGATTTATATCAGTAAACCATTAATATCTCAAAAAATATTTTCTGACTTAAAATAATCTGAAAAATGTTAAGCCATAAAATGCAAATCAATCGACAATCTCTCGAAATCAGTTTACATGAAAGAACGTTAATTCTAATCAGTTTTTTTCTTTGAGAAATCTATTTCACGATTTAAGGTCATAGAATTTTGAGGTAGAAATTCTGTATCGCATTTATCACCATTATTGCATAGGATTACACCCTGCGAGGCAGATAATTCAACAAGTAGAATAATCTTTAAGATAAAACAACTAATTTGGGGAAAAATTTTTAAGATAAAAGACTAATTTGGGGAAAAATCTTTAAGATAAAAGACTAATTTGGAGAACAAATTCTTCAAAGTAACAGGCTGAGAAAAAAAGGCTGTTAGCATCTTTCCGCTAAACCTTTTAGAACCCGTCATAATTCTGAACGTTTCAAACTGCCTTGCTTTTACGTTATTTACATTGTTCGGTCTGTTGTCCTCATCTTTATTACCATATTCACGACGTTTCGGCCGTTGTACGCACCGGCTTTCTTCAGGTGATTGAAATTTCGAACCGAACCCTTTATTTTGCCCTTTATTTTCGTCCACCGAGGTAGATTGTGTTCCACGTGTCATTCTTCTTCCGGATGTCTTAGTTATCTCCCTTTAACTTGACTCTCCAAGTTTTGTTCACCACTGCAGTAGCCAGGTATTGAACTCACAACTCTTTGAGTCAAATCACTGGATCTAATCAACGCTTTTATCCACTGGGCTAAATAAAGGATTCAGTTCGAAATTACAATCACCTGTAGAAGGCCAAATCGCACAACAGCCGAAACGTCGAAAATATAGTAATAATGATAATAACAGTCCGAACGATATAAATAGTGTAAATAATTAAAATATCTCATCTCAGAAATATATACAGATGCCTTGGCTTTAGATTTCCATTCCTGACTTAATCCTTTCTATCTTCTCCAATTTTAACACCTTCTCTTTGAGTACCCATCTAAATTCTAACCTTAATGTTTTTATTTTTAAATACTCAAGCCATATTGTTAAACAGCCTCGTCAGATTGAGATTTTCATATAGATGTCATGCATGGCGCTAAACTTATTCAGAAATATCTAAATTATTAGCCGTATACAATCGCTTTCTCAGATCAATGGCTAGAAATAGCTTCGAGCGAATGAAACTTTTATGTTTTAGTGAGGACCTTCCTTATTTGAAGCTTGTGAACTGGCACAACCGAATCACAAAAATGGTTACCAAATAACAGAGAGCGAAATCCCAGTCAACAACGGCAAGAATTTAAACGAATAGTTCAAGTAACTCGAAGAGAAAATAATTACATATGTTGACGTTCCACACCGCTTCAAACAAAAAATTTCTTTTCATGAAGAAATTGTTCTAAGAGAAAGATTTTATAGGCTTCAAACGAACGTACCACTAGCTACTCTCTCAATAAATGCCGAATGTTTTCCTGATAAGGAAACTGTTAACACTATAAATATTATTATTGTTATAAACTATGATGATTTTTAGGCCCTACATTTCAGCGGCCCAGATAATCTGCATTGTTCTTTCGTTCATCTGTTTTAAATTATAATGCTAAATATAAATCGAGGTTTCCGCCTTTTAACAGATCCCATAAATTTCACGCAAACAGTATGGTTACTTCTGATAAAACAGAGGCAAGAAAATGTACTTTCTACCGAGTGCGTCAATGTTCATATGCAATTGTGTGAACTGGTTCATAAATTGAAGATAACTTAACCCATTTTAATATTTAAGAGATATTTATATGGCGGGGGCGTGTCTATGTTGTTTGTGTGTGCACGTGTTTATATGTTTACATATACATACAATCACGCATACACGTACACAGAGAGAATATTACCGGCTCGTACATATTTACCAAGACTGTTGGGTGGAGACGTTTGTCAAAATCGTCTTTGCCATAACTGCATAAGTCACCCAAAATATTTCAGTTGAAAATAAAATCTTGCTTTTAAAATGTGTTGTTTTTTTTTATCTATTTTCGTGATACGATTATTTTTAATATACAGCTCGTTTATAAGCAACTGTAGACACATTTCCTTAAATCTTATGTAACTTCATCTCTTTTCAAAAGCTACTTGTAAATAGCAAGATAGACTGAGTTCTATAGCCCTGAGTGGCAAACAGGCTAGAAGGAAAAATTGAATTCACAACCAGCCTGGATAGGGATGGACTCCATCAGACTATCTTGCCCAGGACACACCCATCGCTACTGCGGCTACAGTACATGTGGTGTTCATTACTATGCTAATGAGTTACGGTTTCCTGATCGTAATAAAAAATATGAACCACAACTAAGAGATGGGTGAGAGCGGTGACCAGAGCGGCACAAAATGCACTAAATAAAGGAGGGCATGAATATAAAAGAAGAAAAGGATACATTAGATTATTTAAAACATTAAAGACGACTCTCACTAAATGCATACAACGAATATGACCTTAATACCCTGTTTACCTTGTTCTTTAATCAGTGAGTTTTATCCTGTCGAACTAGCATTAGGTAACAAGCCTTGCACTGACAGGCTTTTTAACTGTCTTAAAACATTTTTTATTTATTAAACCCAAGCATAAAATAATAATTCTTCTATTTGTTGTGTCCCTTATGAACGTGAACGAGCATGGCTCTCCACAATATCCTGCCTTTTGTAGTTCTTAGTAAAGTTTATAATTTTACTATCTCTCCTGATCCCTCTTCTGCCAAGCATTTACAAAAGTTTGCTAGTTAGGTTATTCGCTGCGTTCAACTGTCCATCTGTCTTCAATATGTTCTGTGAGTATCAAATTCTCCAAGCCCTCTTTCCTCATTATATGTCCTTGAAATTTCAACTACCTCTTTCTGATTCTAAATATAAGCGTCCTTTTTGTTTCCATAAACGATTTAATCAATTTGAGTACTTGTCAAAACCCTAAGCTTCTAATTTGATAACACGTTAATTGCACGGAAAATCTACCAGTAAAAAAGAATTCTCTTATTGCTATATTTGTACAAAAACGCACAACCTTAAAATTTAAATTCAAACTCAGCGTTGCGACCGCACGTTCCAAAACAATAACACATTTCTCATAGTATTTTTTCGGATTGCATCTCTATTTTCGTTGTCCTCTTATTACTGAGAAGTAAAAACAAGAACAAAATCTACTTCTATACCTGATG